TTGTTATATCTTTCATCATACACAAGCACACCTTTTGAAGTTATAACATACAAGTATGGCAATTCTTCACATTGTGAAAAAACACTAATTTCCTCTATTCCTGATATAAATTTCTTCATACTGCTTGTATTTAGTAAAAGTCTCTTACAACTATTAGAAGTCTGTCCACTGATTCGGGTATCACATAACCATAATGAAGATTTATTGTTAACAAGAACAGAAAGTGGATGTCTTCCAAACTCACAATGGAAAGAACATTTTTTAGATGTCATTTCTTCTTGAAAATTGCATGCCCATACTGCATCTGGATTCTTAGAACCAGCATCCTTTACAAGCAGTTTACCACTTTCTGACGCTACAGTATAATAACCTGGTAGAACGTCACTGAGGTCAGCCCCAGTTAGAGTAGATGTCTTACTACAAACATTTTGATAGAATTTACCCTTGCTGGAATTCCCACGTAAAGAAAAAACACCAATTTGCTTTTTAGACCTTGTGAGAACATATGCAGAATTGTTTACATAACTAGCTACAACCTGATATGTAGGAAAAGGAGATGTGTACCCTGCATGCTTCTCTAATCTGTAAAATCCACAGTTATTTGAAACATCATTTTCAATTATGTTACTTCCACCTTCCAGCCTGTAGATATTAATCCCATGATTTCCATCTTCATTATTTGGATATACAACAGCCTTCTCTTCACCCATCTCCAAAACATCCAAACAGTTTCCTCTATCCTGGTCAACTGCCACATTATTCCAAAAGTCTGCTGAATTCCTAGTATTATTTGGAAATGACAATGGATATGCAAAGCTAAAAGTTTTCTTTAATGGAAAGGCTCCTCCATTGTTTTTCAAACTCTGGAACCTATAACAGTTCGACTTGCAAGACAAGGGTTGCCGCTCACCAATAAAGTTGTCTGTTAAGGAGAGAATTGAGAAATTAGAAATCTATTAAATGAATATATTAACGCAAAATCAATATCTATCATGAAGTTAACATGAAGAATATTAATCAGTGATAAAGGGTGACAAAGCATATCAAATAGGTTATTGAAATAGATAATAACCATAACAACACACACACACACACACACCACACACCACACAACACATACACAGCACACAATATTATATATATATATCGATAATATATATAATAGCTAACATATATACATACATATATAGTATATATATTATATTATATATATATTATATATATATATATATATATATATATATATATATATATATATATATATATATATATATATATATATATATATTATATATATATATATTTATATATATATATATATATATTATATATATATATAAGTGATGAGTTCACTAACACACTTAGATAGGGACATAAAAAATAAAAAATATTATGTATTATTAATATGCATTTTAGTCTACTCATATTATATTATATAATATCGTTAATTATATATATATAATTATATTATTGTATAATATATACTATGCATATATATATATCATATATCGTTAATACAAATATATATTAATACACATTATATTACATATATTATATATTACATTTATATAATTTATATATATATATATAATATTAATATATATATATATATATATATATTATATATATATAATCTATATATATACATATAACTATATATATTCATATATATTATATATTTATCTATATATAATTGTTTTGGTTGGGATGTGATTGGTATTAGTGTAGATTAGTGTGTGTTGTGTTGTAGTTATGTTGATGTGGTGGTAAAGAATGTGGTATGATGTTGGTTGTAGATGGTTGTGTGTTGGGTGGTGCTAGTGTGGTATATTGATTGTTATGTTGTTATGCTGTGTATAGTATGAATAGTAGTTATAGTTAATGTATATATGTTGTTGTTGTAGTGTAATTGATGTGTGTGTGTATGTGTGTGTGTGTGTGTGTGTGTGTGTGTGTGGTGTGTGTGTGTGTGGGTGTGTGTGTGTGTCTCTCTCATTCACTCATCGTCATCTCTACTTATCTCTCATCTTTCTCATCATCTCATATCTCTGGCATGTCTCTTATTACTCTTCTATATCTATGCTATCTACTCTTATTACTCCATTATCACATATTCATCAGTCTATTCGATCTATATATATATTATTAGTATATATATGTACTGTAGGTATATATATGTATATATATATATACTTATAATATATAATATAATTATATATATATATATATCTCATAATATATTATATAAAAAATATTTTGGTGCATATATGAATGTACAAAAATACAAATATGATATATATGTACACTACAACCATGTCACCACATTAACAGCACATTGCACATACAATACATCATACTTATATATTGGTTATATATAACTATGAGTAGATCTTGTAGGTAATATATAGTATTATATATATTATATTATATCTATATAGTTCATAATATGAGTAGGAAATATTGGTGGTTGCATTAGAACAAGAAATCTGAATACAAACAACAACTATATATATATAATATATATATATATATAGTATATATATATATATACATATATACAAATAGCTCTTACATATGCATATATATGCATATGTAGTGGTGTGTGCGTACATACACTACAAATACGATATATATATATCTATATATTATAATATATATATATATATTGATATATATATGTATTACACACACAACACACACACACACACACAATAGGATGGTCTAGACACTTACAAAAATTAGTGCATATGATATGTATATATTATAAAATATAATTATAAAAATATATTATATATATATATACTATGTATATATGTATGCATACTTCATACATATAATATATATATATTATATATATATATTGTTATAGTATATATAGTGTACATATATAATAATTACATATATATATATACTATGTATATATGTATATATATATATATATATATTAGTATATATATATATAATATTATATATATATTATGTATATATATACATATGCATGTATATAGTTCATCTATTTTATTTAGATATCTATATATATACAATATATCATATATATGTTAATATGTATGTATATATAATTATATATATATAATATATAGTAGTTTATATATACTATAAATATATTATATATTTATATATAATATATTCATTCTGACACACGCACACACACACAGGTCTAGTTGCACACCAGTTGCACACATACGGTTAGTTTAATGTATGTATTATGTATTGTAATATATAGATATATATAGGTTATAAATATATGTGTAATATATATATAGTATTATTATATATATATATTATATATATATATATAATATAATGTGTGTGTGGCTGGTGTGTGGTGTGTGTGTGGTGTGTGTGTGTGTGTGTGTGTGTGTTGTGTGGTGTGTCTGTGTGTGTGTGTGGTGTGCTGTGTGTGTGTGTGGTGTGTGTGTGTGTGTGTGGTGTGGTGTGTGTGGTGTGTGTTGTGTGGTGTGTGTGTGTGTGGTGTGTGTGTGTGTGGTGTGTGTTGTTGTGTGTGTTGTATAGTTGAGATATATATAAAGTAGTATGAGTGGCAGTATATATATTGGTAGTAGTAATAGTGATAGGTAATGTATGTATGAGTAGTTATATGTGACTGATATATATATGTAGTAGTTATGTAAGTATTAATATTCATGGGTGATATTATATATTATATGTATATAGGTTATATATATATGTAGTATATATGATACATTACACACAGCCACAGCACGCACAATGCACCACACACAGTTTACAGCCTACAGAGACGACACACAACACACAACGAGTATCAGGGAGTGACACAACACACAGCAGCGACGCACAGCCGTCACTAGACACACGACAAAGAGTAGATCACACACACAATGCACACATATATAATATAGTGTGATAGTAAGGTAGTTATTATATATATGTATATATATATTTATAATACATATTATATATATATATACATATATATATATGTATGACTATATTGGTATATATAATATATATATAACCTATATATATATATAATATCTATAATATATATAGTGTGTTGTGTGTGTGTGTGTGTGTGTGTGGTGTTGTGTGTGTGTGTGTGTTGTGGTGTGTGTGTGTGTGTGTTAGTAAGTATATACATATATATATGTATATCATATTATAAGCCACCATCAGTCGCACGCCACACACACAAGATAATATATATATAAAATTATAAATAATATATATATATATTATATATATATAATACACACAAAGGTTTGCACACAGTAGGTAGCACACACACCGGTGATGTAACACACACCACACACACACACACACACATGAGTCGGTCACCACACATCACACACACACAATATCATATATGATATATATATAGTATATATATAGAGGGTAGTGGATAGTATATACATATAGAATGATGGCTGATATACATACATAGCGGTACGTTAAGATACCACGACAGAGTAGAGCATGATAGAGAGTGATAATTCTAGGGGAGAGTATATTATGTTAATTGATATATATGAGAGTGATTAGTTATTATATAGTGTTAAGATTTAATTAATAAACCTTAATGATATATATAATATTAATATTATATAATGAGTTATATATAATATATATATATATATATATATAAAATCTTAAATACTAATTCACACACAATATCAACACACACATGTGTCCTGTGTGTGCGTGTATGTATGTATGTATGTATGTATGTATATATATATATATATATATATGTTTGTGTTATGTGTGTATGTTGTATTGTATGTGTGTTGTGTGTGTGTATGTGTGTGTGTGTATTGTCTTGTGTGTGTGTGTGTGTGTGTGTGTGTGTGTGTGTGTGTGTTTGTGTGTTCTCTGTCTTCTCTCTCTCTCTCTCTTCTTCTCTCTCTCTCTCTCTCTTTCTCTCTCTCTCTCTCTCTCTCTCTCTCTCTCTCTCTCTCTCTCTCTCTCTCTCTTTCTTTTATCTCTGATATAGATCTGCTTTAGAGATAATGGTAAACTCTTGATATGTTATTTGGAAAATAGAATAATTCTTGAATAATATTTATGACAATATTTCATATCTCATGATTATTTTCCAAATGTTTACAATTATTTAATTGCCAAAAATAACGAAATGAATATGTAAAAGACAGATTGAACAAGAAATATTGAAAGTAATGGGCTTCTTGTTAGTTTGGAGGGGGAACACTAACGAGGTGCTGAACATCAGTCGCTGAAATGACAAAGCTATAAGAATATTCCCTTAGCCTTGGGTTAAGTGAAGCTAGACTTGGCCCTTCATTGGGTGAGTGAGCAAGCGTGAGCTGGGAAGGGGGTCGCTGGGAAGTGACCAATCTGCCCAGGTCTAAAGACTGTCACCCAATAATTTGACACTCTAAATTATATGTTAATAATATAAGTTTCGCAGCACCTACATCCTATATAGCAATCATCATTATATTAATGGACCGCTGCACACATTCACTGCATTTCTTCTCACATCATCTATTTTCACCAACAGTTTCGGAAACAATAAAATAAATTAGACTGACTGGCGATGCACTTTAAATTTATTTGTCTTAAACTTTAAACTGATATAAATAAAAATACTTTCAATAAGTATATGATTGTAAAAGGCGGAGCCAAGTGGCCCATCATACTTAAGCTAACCCTAACCAAACCATGCTTTGCGATTCATGAACGCGACTGGAGGTCATGGTTTGTAGGAGGCACCCAAATGAAATATAAGGAAAAAAAAGGAATTGATATCTAACCCTTTGCACCTCATTATCCTTGAAATTGGTTGGCCAGAGCCATTTATTAAAGTTTGGAAGCTCAAGAGGTGCTATTTGAAACAATACATTATTCACGCCCACAAATATTACACACAGTGTGTGTGTGTGTGTGTGTGTGTGTGTGTGTGTGTGTGTGTGTGTGTGTGTGTGTGTGTGTGTATGTGTGTGATGTGTGTGTGTGTGTGTGTGTGTGTGTGTGTGTGTGTGTGTGTGTGTGTGTGTGTGTGTGTGTGTGTGTGTGTGTGTGTGTGTGTGTGTGTGTGTGAGAGAGAGAGAGAGAGAGAGAGAGAGAGAGAGAGAGAAGAGAGAAGAGAGAGAGAGAGAGAGAGAGAGAGAGAGAGAGAGAGAGAGAGAGAGAGAGAGAGAGAGAGAGAGAGAGAGAGAGAGAGAGAGAGAGAGAGAGAGAGAGAGAGAGAGAGAGAGGAGAGAGAGAAAGAGGAGAGAGAGAGAGAGAGGAGAGAGAGAGAGAGAGAGAGAGAGGAGAGAGAGAGAGAGAGAGGAGAGGAGAGGAGAGGAGAGGAGAGGAGAGGAGAGGAGAGGAGAGGAGAGGAGAGGAGAAGAGGAGAGGAGAGGAGAGGAGAGGAGAGGAGAGGAGAGGAGAGAGAGAGAGAGAGAGAGAGAGAGAGAGAGAGAGAGAGAGAGAGAGAGAGAGAGAGGGGGGGGGGCTGTACACATGTGGAGGTTTGTTGTCCTTAGCCAAAGCACCAAAGGAAGGATGGCAAAGGGCAACTATTCTACTTTCGAAAAAAATCTGACTGCCTTGTACTGTTCTCACACAATAAGTTTAAGAAAATAATTCTAATCAAATAGGTGCCATCATTTTATATACATTTCATATTGCAAATACCATATAATAGACAATATTACAACAACTGTAATTCATGGAACAGGAGGAGAGTGAGGTCAAGTGAGGTCCTATATTGACTAATTTCCATCAAATCAGGCACATTGGAGATTTGATGGCCTTTTCCAGAGCCGACAAACAGAAGTCATCGCGTCGCCTTTAATGATAATGATGAGCACGTAATTTTTGTTAAAACAATCAGGTCTTACCATTCTCAAAGACATGGTGTGGCCCTACCAGCGTAGGTGCAACATTTGGCCAGTCTGGATAAGGGCAGACAGAACGTAATCTCCGGACAATAAGGCTATCCCTGAATGTCCAGCCCGTAGTAGACCAATGTTGCCCCTCCATCAAGGATGCTACTGGTCATACACATAGAAATCAACGGTGCTGAGTTTTGGCGCTCCTGCTGCCAGGATGACATGGAAGTGAGGTCCTGCAGGACTCCGTTATCCCAAAACCTTCATGCGTGTGTTGATCAACGAGTTGCCTAAAGCTGATTTCATGGGACATTTCATATCTAATTTGGAATTACTTCCATAAGTTCTGGTAATTGAATTTACAATTTTAAGTAGTTTATCAGTATAGCAAACCTACTAGAAAAGGAATTTGAGCCTTTGAACTGTATATTGATATTCATGTAAATAAACAAAAGCTCACATGTGATTTCCCTCACGTGTTTACTTATGCACACAATAATTAGGGAAGCCTTTTTTGATATGATGGAATCTATCCTATGCTATCGACCTTCGTAATATATACCGATTTCACGAATGAACGTAAAACCCACCACATTAAATGAAAAATTGCGAAAGGAATATATTTTGCCTGCGTAATCCTCGTCGCTACGTAAAATATTCC